CCCCCCCCATTCCTCTGCCTCCCTCCTCTCTTTTCCTCACCTCTTCCCCTCGCCCCTCCGCCCCCCCTCACCACCCCCCACCGCGCCCAGTGCTCCGGTTAGTTCGTGGCGTGGGGTGGGTTGTGTGCCACTTCTTACCGGAACCAAGCACTGGGAACCCACAAATGCAGTTGTATTTTGGGTTTTTACGTGTGGATTGCTCCTTTTAGGATGAAGTTGTTCTGTCTGTCATTATCGCGAAAAAAGCAGCTAGAATCCCGCGTTTGACGTTGTATGTTGGGTTTTGCGGTTTTGCGCGGATAGAGGGAGCCTCCAGAGCAACCCGGACCTTGTTTCGACCTTCATTTTGACAGATTTGACGGACTCATGTTCAAGGCCGAAAAACCTTCGAAAACGTGTCGAAGTGTCTTTGTTCGCTTATTGGCCCGGAATTCGGGCCTGTTTTTGGCGCCTCTTGGTATTGGGACATTTCTCGAAGGCTCAGAAAACGGCCCCATTTTTGGACCTGCTTATGTTTCCAAATACAAACCGTGCTCAAAGTATATCTCCATTCAAGAAACATATACAAAATACTCTCATAAATCTCATATCAAACATCAGCTGAGCATCCAACTACTTTTCCTCACGCGCTGCACGATGTTGCAAGATGGGGAAGTCTTCATCGAGCCTCCCGGCCACTCCAAACGGCCGGGGTAAGCGAAAGAAACGTCCTCACAATTTACCAAGAACTGTGCAGGCACACGACACCCACCACCACAGCACCCTGAACCCGAACGGGCACAGTCAGAATGCCACAAAGGGGAGGGAGGGCGGGCGAAAAGATTTCTCCAGCTGAAAGCCGAGACTACGATATAAGATATTGAAAAATAATCAACATGAGAAAACTTTGAAAAGCACTATTTCAAAACCAGAAAGGTTCTTGAAATTTTGTGTTTGGAAAGATAAGGTGATTGTCACCTGCGGTGAAATTGCACTTATGTTTCCAAACACAAACCGTGCTCAAAGTATATCTTCATTCAAAAAACATATACAAAATATTCTCATAAATCTCATATCAAACATCAGCTGAGCATCCAACTACTTTTCCTCACGCGCTGCACGATGTTGCAAGATGGGGAAGTCTTCATCGAGCCTCCCGGCCACTCCACCCCGCTTCCAAAACGAGGCTCGCGACCCAGTCATCATCTAGAATGAATCTTGCAGCACCGAGCCTGTTCAAGCGCTCGAAGGAAAAACGGCTTGGATCATCAGCGATGTTCCCATGAGGTACTCGAGCATACCACGCATGCTGGCCTAGCTCACACTCGAGCCTCACCGCTTTGGCAATCAAGAGGTCAGCAGTGGAGGTACCGCCCGACCCTCTGATCAAGCCAATGCATGCAGGTTCATTGTCAAGATAATATACTACTTGTTGCGCTATGCACCTGCTGCCCCACACGTGCAATGCAATCAAGACTGGAAGCAATTCAAGCTCGTATATGGGATGAGCCGATGACGAAAGAAGTTCATCCATCGCACTCTTGCTCACCTCGCCTGCAAAATACGAGAGACAAGCCCCTTCCGGAGAGACAAAGACACCTCCAAAGGTGCCCTTGCCTTTCTCGAAAGCTCCATCCGTAAAGATGTAAGCAGTCTTAAGCGCAAAAGCAGAAATTGAAACTGGTCGTGCTTGTTGAATCCGGATCTTGACCATTTCAAGTGCCCACTCTCTCTCTTATATCCATGTTTC